CTTTTGGCCATCAAGGCCCACTGGCCACCCCCAGATTCTAAAAAAAAAACTTAACCTGCCAAGGTCCTCCACCTTCTGGGGGGATTGTCAGCCCAAGTTCCTCAGTCCAAGTCCATTAGTCTAAGTCCGTTGGCCTCTCCCTGCATCAGCACTGGCAAGCTCCAAATCGTGGTCCTCTCTTCTGACGATTCTTGCTGGCTCAGGGGTCGTTGGCTGGTCCTCTGGGCGTCTCCTTCTCCAGGCGAGGTCTTATTCTGTAGCTCCCGGAACTTGTCCCTCTCCTGCGCCACCATAACGCCTCCAGTGTCGTCATAGGCAAAGTCTGTGTAAGGCAGGAAGGACCACTGAGCAGGTTTTCTGATCCAGCAGACCAGGTAAAGGAGGAGTCAGAGTCCTCAATGGTTTTTTGCAGATTTTTTACTTAGATTACCAGGTACACGGCAGGAAGGAGTGCTGGGGGGCCGGGAGGCTGGCAGTCCTCCCAGCCCCCAGCAAATCCTCACTCTATCTGGGCTCTCCGGCGTTTTCTCTCTCTCTCTGTCAGCTTCTGCTGCTCTTGCTTCTCTTTCAGCTTCTTCTGCTGCTAGCATCCCTGTGACACCACCCTTACAAGTCCAGTCTCTCAGCCCAGGTGTACCCACTTCAGGTGCCCGCCATCAGGCATGCATTCAGGACCACAGGGTTCCCTCATCTATCCTAATGGAGGGAGGGCAGAAAAGCCCGATACCTTTTACCTACTCTACACAGACTATGGGGACTGGGAGCCTCCCAGCCCCCTGGCACACTTGCCTGCCGTATAAAAGCTCAATAAAAGCCTGAGAAATCCACCGAGGGCTCCAGGACTCTCCTTGACCCATCTGCTCAGATCACAGAGAACCAGCTCTGTGCTTTCTGGTACTACAGTGTTTCTCACAACTCAGAAAGAGCAGAAAGAGGTATCCAGAATCCAGCCACTACGGGATGAGATGCAGGAACTTCAACAACATTTGAGGATTCTTGGAGGAAGAAGTTCAGAGAAATCAACCCACCATTCCGAAGATGCCAGAATCCATCTCAGGGGAGGAGAGGGAGGCTGCCCTTAGCCCGAGTCTCAGCCGGTGGTGGCAAACCAACCTGCGACTCCGGGGATGCCAGACTCCTCTGGAGAGGACAAGGAGGTTACTCCCATGCTCCCGGCCCACCCAGTGATAACTCAGAAAATGAAGTGACAGCAGCCTATGGCCCCTGGGGATGAGGCTGCTGAACACCCACATGACAGAATTTACTACATACCGACCATACACCCAGGCAGAACTGGTGGACATGAGCAAACAGTTCTGCCAGAAACCAGGGGAGCCCTAGGCAGCCTGGCTGCTACGTTTGTGGGACCTGAGGGAGATGGGATTATTTGTACATCACAGGAGATGGAGAGACTGGCCTCAGTGACTTTACACCCATCCCTGAGACAGAGGCTGCAGCACAGACGGCAGTATGGCCAGGGTGATCACACCCTGCTGGAATGGATACTGGCTGCCATACGAACAGTATGGGCTGATGCAGGAGATGTGCAGAGACAATGAGCAGATGCCAGACGTATGCCGACCTGGTGCAGGTACTTCGGGAATTGGGGATGCATCTGGCCATGTTCAGTGTGAATACTCGTGGTCCTGATGACAAGCGTTTCACAGCAGGGATGAGAGATTTGGTATTGAAGAGTGTCCCCTCAGCCTCATTTGGATCCCTCATGGCAGTTCTAGCACCCTGTGTGGGACGTCAAATGCACGACGTCACAACAATGATAGCTAGCTGGGGTGAAGTCAAGAGCCAGTGCTCTCAAACTCAGAAAGGCATACGGGTAATTGTTGAACAATCAAAAGGAATGCCGAGGAGGACAAGGAAGCCTCTTGGCATCACAGAACCTGTTGAAGCTACCCATAACCAAAAGAGGACAGATTTAGTGGGAGCAGGTGCAGATGGCACTAAAATACACGCAAAGCCCGATGCATACTTGTTAATAAAAGAATTACAGAAGCAGCTGCAGGAAGCCCAGAGGTTCATGCCGTGAGAAGGACTGCTGCTATGGGAAGCCTGGAGGCGCCAGGCCTCAGGCACGAGCCCTGTGCCTGGAAAACCACCTGCTGCTGACCCCGTCCTCGGGCGATGGCCTGATCACTTTCGAATAGGGTGAGGGCCAAGGAACCCATCCACAGGGGATGGGTGGGGACCGGAGGCCACATGTGGATCTTGCCATCCACTGTCCCTGACTAATGTGCAAAGAGTTTTATGCTTTGGTAGACACAGGAGCTGAATGTACTCTGCTCTATGGAGATCCAGAAAAATTTCAAGGGTCTGCTTGTTACATTGATGGCTGTGGAGGCCAGAGTATCAAGGTCACAGCAGTGAGACTATCCCTGGGGATTGGGCGATTACCCACTGAAAGAGTCTAAAGTATATGTATCGCCCATGCTGGAGTACATCTGGGGGTGCATGTACTACATGGCTTATGGTTAGCGATTACAGCCGGAGAGTTTCCCCTTAAAGTGCATGCAGTAAAGGCAGCGGTGCGAGGACACGCTAAGCATCCGCCCATAAGACTGCCAGTCCCTAGGGGAATGATTAATACCAAGCAATATCAGTTGCCTGGAGGCCACAAGGAAATTACGGGCACAATATAGGAATTGGAGAAAGTGGGCATTGTGCATACTGCCCGCAGCCCCTACAATTCCGAGGTGTGGCCGGTGTAGAAGCCTGATGGCTCTTGGCATGACAGAGGATTATTGTGAGTTAAATAAAGTAGTTCCCCCCTTGCATGCTGCAGTGCCTTCAGGGGCAGACTTAATAGATGGTCTGAGCCATGAGCTAGACATGGATCATTTTTTAGCGTGTTTAGCAAATACTTCCCCCCTCCCCATAGAGACAGCTCCAAAGAGTCAAGACCAGTTTGCCTTCACCTGGGAAGGCCGGCAATGGACACTCACTGTGCTCCCACAGGGATATCTGCACAGCCCTACTCTGTGCCAGGGGCTGGTGGCAGCAGGTCTGGCCCGGTGGGAAAGGCCATCTTCAGTGCGTCTGTATCATTACATGGATGATGTTTTATTGACCGAGACTCTCTTGCTATTTGGAAAAGGCCGTATCTCTCCTATTGACACATCTGAAAACATGTGGCTGGCAATCAACGGAAGTGAACTGCATGGCCCTAGCCTGTGAAGGCTCCCCACATGTGCTGGGTGGCTCTGATTGCCCCTTGGGGTCATGGTCTGGAGGCCGATTTACAAATAACACCATGGGTGACTGCACAGTGGCCGCCACAGGTGCGTGTTACCCACCCTGGGGTGGCAGATCAGAATGCAGTCCTTCGGGGACATTTGTGATGTTTTGTGGCCTATTATTGTCACAGGGTGGTCCCCAGAATAAGAGGAAATTCCAGATTCCTCCCTGCCCCACCCAAAGGAGGGTGGATCTAAGAGAAGAAGCTGCAGAGGTGGGGAGGAAGGAAGGAAGCAAGATGGAGCCAGAAGGAGCCCTGGAGGAGGCACATGGAGCCAAGAGACACGTGAGGAAACTCAGCTTGCCTTTTGGTCATAGCAAGTAAAAGGGAAAAGCATCAGAAGTGGGTGAGACCCGTGGGGAGGTGAAAATGGCGGTTTTCTCTTGATTTTGATTTTGCTCTTTGCCTCCAAACTAGTCTTGTTGTTTCTGACCCTTTCTGTGGGTTCCCCACTGGAAGGTGCTTTGGACTTGTGACAGGCTTTGGGGCCTTGCTCTGGGCCACTCTTGCGTGGGTGGACTTTACCCATGAAGTAAAGGGCAGGTAACTTGGGTACTTGATTTAGAAACTATATTCTTTGCCTTTCCTTTATTGTTTCCTAATTGAATTAAAGTTCTTTTTCATTAAAGTCTCACAGGTTTTGTGTTGATGTGGCGGATGGCAGAACCTATTTAGAGCAAGCAGGTTTGTGGGGTCTGGGGTACCCCTCTCCCTGCCCTGTAACATTACCAACTCGCCACTCTTGCTACATGTAGAGCCCTGTGATGCCTCTTTACCGGCAAAGTGAGTATGGTCCTCACAACCTGGAAGGCCACGGATGCCACCTACAATATTATCTTCAGACACAAAATTGGCGTGTATGTTGCCAGATGGCAGGGATCTCCCATTGCTGGTACCAGTAACTTCCTTATCTTTCCGCCCCTAGGAGAACTGAACTTACTTATATTGTGATGTATACTGTTTGCTTTTGTGAGCCATGGCTGCAGTGCTTGTATTTGCCAAGGGAAACTTGTATACACTTGTGTATGGACTGTGTGGTGGAAAACCCTGAGGGGGTGGATTGTGGGGTAAGGAAAAGGGAAACGCATCAGGCTCTCCGGCCTCCCACTGTGCATGCGCACTCAGCCAGGGGCTGGAGGTGGCGTGGTGTGGAGTAGCGTGGTGTGGAGCTGCGTGGTGTGGAATGTGGTGAATGCAGCGGCAAACAGCGGGGAAATGAAAGCACCAACACGGCTGCTTGAAGCGTTGATGAACCTCCCCGGCATGGCATGGTTGCATTACACTCCCTGAATACTCATAGCCTATGGGTCTATTTTTATCCCCATTTTTACATAAGGAAACTGGGACAGAGAGGCTAAAGAAGTTACCAGGCCACACAGTAATGGATACTGAAGCCGGGCCCAGCCCAGGCAGTTCAGCCCGAGCCCACTCAGTGAGCACCTTCCCTCTGTCGCCTCTTGCATCTCACACCACAGCGCCCTGGCTCAAGAGCAGGGAGATCACCCCCACGGGCCTCTTCTTCCATCCCAGAGCTGAATCTTGAAGTCCTCGGTCCCGTGTGTTCTTCTAGCCTAGACCTCATCTATTCGCCCCATCCCACACCCCAACACTTCTGCTTGGCAGATGAGCCTCTGGCCCTCTCAGTTTGCTTCCCGAGGGCTGTCAGCAAGGCCCTATAAGGTGAAGACAGGGTGGGTGTGCGGGGGGCGGGGCAGGAAGCAGAAGTGAAGTGATGAGTTGTGTGGGGAGGCTGACACCATTTCAGAAGCCTCCTGTGAAGAGCAAGAAGGTCTGTTTAGGAGCTGCTCGACACAGGACTCCAGGTAGGAAAACAGGAGGGGTTTGAGGTAACTGGGAGCCCCTAAGTGGGGACAGATGAGCATGGGCATAAAACCACTACTTTGAGAGAAGAGCCTCATGGGGCAGGAAGTGCTGTTTCATGTAAGAAAGAGACTTGGTGCAAACTGCATGTGTTTATCTTTTTTGGTTGCTGAGTAATATTCCACTGTGTATATGCACCACATCTTCTTGATCCAGTCATCTATTTTTGGGCATTTGGGTTGTTTCCATAACTTAGCTATTGTAAATAGTGCTGCTATAAACACATGCAGTTTGCAGCAACATGGATGGAGCTAGAAGGGATCATACTCAGTGAAATAAGTGAGAAAGAAAAAGAAAAATACCGGATGGTCTCACTCATAGCAGGAATTTCGAAAACCTAAATAAGGGACCAGGAAAAAGACTAATTAATACAAAGTAAAAATCAAAATCAACAAGCAACTGTAAACCAGAGACACAGCACGAGGGGAAGGGAGAGAGAGAAGGGAAAAGGAAGGACTAGGGTCAAAATAAGGGGGGGCTGCAATTGTATGGGGAATATAACTAAAATGATAATACATACATTGTGCAAAAATGAAAAATGATGTAAGAATTATATAAAACAAAATATTAATTTTTTTAAAAAGCCTGAAAAATCCAAAAAAAAGGAAAAAAAAAAAGAAAGAGACTTGGATTCCAGACGGTGCTTTGGTGCTAACAAATTGGGCAGATTTGAGCCCACTCTGTGCCTCAGTTTCCTCATATACCAAGCAAAGAGGTTAGAGTACACAGTCTCTTTGGCCCTTCAGATGCTGACTGAGTCACTAAGAAAGCTGAAAACAACTGCCCTGGGAGATAAATGAGGAGGGACAGTATGGAGACCAAGTTCCTTGGATTAAGGTTATAAACTGTGCTGGCTTCCTTAGGGGGATGATCCCTAAGGAAGGGATTTTTTTTGTGTTTTGTTTTTTGTGTTTTTTTCCCCTAAATTCTTTATAGTTTTTTTTCTTTTCTTTATATATATATATATTACATCTTTTTTCTTTTTTGTACAATGTATACATTTTCATCATTGTTATAATCCCCGTACAATTCCCACCACCCTTATTTTGATCCTACTCCCTTCTTCCCCACCCCCCAATAGTGTGTCTCTGGTTTATAGTTGCTTGTTGATTTTGATTTTGATGTTTACTTTATTATAATTAGTCTTTTTCTTGATCCCTTATCTAGGTTTTCTAAATTCCTGCTATCAGTGAGACCACCAGAATTTTTCTTTTACTTTCTGCTTATATCACTGACCATGATCCTTTCCAGCTCCACCCATGTTGCTACAAATGGCATGAGTTTATCTTTTTTATTGCTGAGTAATATTCCATTGTGTATATGTAACACATCTTCTTGAACCAGTCATCTATTTTTGGGCAATTGGGTTGTTTCCATAGCTTACCTATTGTAAATAGTGCTGCAATAAACATAGGAGTGCAGGTGGATCCCAGGGCCATTGAAAGCCTCCTCTTCTGCAATTTACTTCCGTGGGGCTGCCATATTGCCAGGAATTCATTCAAGTCACTGCTTTGAACAAGGCCCAGAGGCTCCAGGTAGAGTGCAGGGGGAGTTCACATCCCCCATAAACCCAGGGCTCAGAGAGGCAGCTGCCTCTGCCAGGTGCCAGAGAGGAAAGGCCTCCAAGGAACTCAGTTTGTATAAGGGTAGAGAAAGGAGATTACAGATTATAAACAAACCCAGCTGAGGCTCCAGAGCCACCTCAAACTGGGGAAGAAACTTCAAGGTAATTGTTGTCCAACTGTAGGCAATAGGTAGCTCAGAGTTATTGCCAGGATCCCAGTGTGGCAGGGAATAAAAAAGAGGAGACTCAAGCATCAGTAGGAGACCTGGAGAACAAATTTCAAGACCTCTCCCTTGCAGGATCTTAGGATATAGGCATATGGGAGCATTTATTCTAGAATTCAGATTGATTTTCTTCCAGGAGGCGCAGAAAGAGGTCCCCAAAGGGGAAATGGAGAGAATAAGGATGAATCACAACCACCCTTTTTTCCCAGTTATGTCAAGAACCTAAGGTGCATATAGGGTGGGGATGGAGAGTAAGAGAGGAGTGAGTATTCTGGGGTCAAAGTAACATTTTCCAGAACCTAGATTTCTCTAGACTTACCAGGTCCCTCCCCAAAAATTGCTACAGCTATTGCCTGCCCCCTCCTCTCTACCCAGAGCACCCTCCCACCAGCAGCAGCTGATGCAAAGGATGAAGTCATCAATTTGGATCTCCACTAGGCTGAAATAATGAAATCAGGGCATCCTCTGCTTATATGTCCTTGGCCAAGTCACTTCTTCTCTGTGGGCCCATCTGTACAATGTTGAGGGTGGCCCATGTTTATAAGGGTAATTCCAGCTCTGACATTCAGTGACTTAAAAGAGATGGCATTCCCTCTGGATTCCACAGGTCCCAATAATCCTCAGCTGGGGAAGGAGCCTCTTGAAGCCCTGTGCCTCCTGTCTATGGAGCTCTATGGCCACCTGTGTGCTTCTCCAGGGGATCCTCCTCCTTCTGCTGCCTACACACACCCCTGCCCTCTGTGACACCTTCACACACACTGAGTGCAGTAAACACGAGACTTTCGTGCCCGGCACATGGCTGGCAGGGGAGGGAGTGGACGTGACCAGTCTCCGGCGCTCAGGCTCCTTCCCAGTGGACACAACCCACTACCTGCGGCCAGATGGCACCTGCACCCTCTGCAAGAACGTCCTGCAGGACAACACCCTCCAGCGCCTGCCCCTGGCCCTCGTGCACTGGCGTGCCCAGTCCTCTGTCTGCCAGCGCAAGGTAGTCAAAGCCAAGGTCAGCTCTGTCGAGGGTGTGGCCCAGGATGCAGCTAGCAAAATCCGCAATGATTGGCGGGGGGAGCTAGACGTGACTCCCAAGCCCACGGTCAATGCACGCTTGTCCATGGCCGGTTCGCACTCCGAGGCAGCTAACTTTGCAGCCACGAAAACCCTCCAGGATGAGTACAGCTTCACCAAGGATGAGGTGGAGTGTCAATTTTACAGGTGAGCTTGGGAGTGGGGTGGAGGGGGCATTAAAAAAAGGTGGGAAATTTAGGGTGGTGTAAAAGCCCAGGAATGGCAGGATGGGAACACAGAGACTGCCTCCACCAGGAGGAAACTGCAGGTAGAGTGCCCTATGGCCTTCCTCTCTGTAGTCCAGATCTGGAAGCACCCAGGCAGAGAACAGGTAGAGGGAAGCTAGCAGGCTGTGCCTGAGAACAAGATGCTGTTGAGGTCTTCCCAATAACCCCCTCTTCTATGAGCATTGGAAGTTCTGTGGGGTCCTTCCTGGATGGGGCAGAGACAGGAGACCTGGTTGGATCCCTCCCATCACTGACCTCATACGTCCTTTGATCCACTATTTTAGTCCAACTCTGTGTTGGGCATTAAGGCATTAGGCTCTGTGCTGGGCATTAGGGTTAGAGTACTGAGCAATTGCAATCACCCCCAGCCCTCCAGACCCAGATCCCAACCTGAGAAATGCATGCCTCCAGAGTAACCACTCTGATTTCTTATACCGGGACCCCAACTTTCCCCCATGGTGAGACAGGGCACCTATGTGGCCAGAGCTGTCAGGGGTCCATGCATGCAGGTCCCAATCGAGTGGACAGATAGCCTACAGCAACAGGACTACCTTCCAAAACCAGAACACACCATCAGTATAGTAGCATCTCTTTTTATAATCAGAAAATAAAGAGGAAAGAAAAAACTTTATTTTGAAAAGGAAAGTGCAAACTTATATACCAAGTCCTTATCACTGCAGGAAAACAGACAGGAAGGGTTTCTCTGCGGGCTCAGTGATTCAGTTGTTTAGGCTTTGGAGCCAGACCACCCGGGCTCAAGTCCTAGTTCGGCCACTTCCCTGTGACCTTGGGCCATGTTGAGGGAGTTATTGAATGGGGAAAATACTACCCACTACTGGACCTGATGTTTTTCTCTCCCTCAGTTTTAAACTAGTACACAACCCCCCACTGCACCCTGAATTCAAAAAGGCCCTCAGGGCCCTACTCCCCGAATTCAACAGCTCCACAGAGACTGAGTACTTCAGGCTCATCTCCGACTATGGCACCCACTTTATCCGGTCCATGAACCTGGGTGGCCGGATCTCGACCCTCACGGCCCTGCACACCTGTGAACTGGTCTTACAGGGATTGACAGATAAGGAGGTGGAGGATTGCCTGGCTGTCGAGGCTGAGGTCAGCATAGGCAGCCAGGTCAGGTCTTCAGCAGAATTCAAGGCCTGTGAGGAGAAGAGGAAGAACAGCAAGATAACAAACTCCTTCCACCAGACCTTCCGGGAACGTTATATTGACATAGTTGGTGGGCACCACACTTCCTCGCATGACCTGCTATTTGGGAACCATGCCAAGCCCGAACAGTTCTCACAATGGGTAGATTCGCTGAAGGACACCCCAGGCCTTGTGGACTACACCTTGGAGCCTCTGCATGTTCTGCTGAAGAGAGAGGACCCGCACCGCGAGGCCCTGAGACAGGCCGTGAGCAAGTATGTGTTGCACAGGGCTCGCTGGAGGGACTGCAGCCGGCCCTGCCCTAAGGGGCAGCAGAAGAGCCAACAAGACCCGTGCCAGTGCCTGTGCCATGGCATGGAAGTCACCAACCACGGCTGTTGTCCTCGAGAGAGGGGTTTGGCCCGCCTGGAGGTTAAGAACTTCCAGGCGACAGGCCTGTGGGGAGACTGGATCACTGCCACAGACGCCTATTTGAAGGTTTTCTTCGCAAGGAAGGAGTTGAGGACAAGCACAGTGTGGAACAACAACAACCCCACATGGCACACAACGCTGGACTTTCAAGATGTGGTCCTGACCACGGGGAGGCCCCTGAGGGTGCAGGTCTGGGATGAAGACTATGGCTGGGATGATGACCTTCTCGGCACATGTGACACAGAACCAAAATCTGGGTCACACGAGGTGAACTGCAACCTAAACCACGGTCACCTGAAATTTTCCTACCAAGCCAAGTGCCTGCACCACCTGACAGGGGATTTCTGCATGGACTATGCCCCCCAAGGGCGTCTGGGGGAGCCTCCAGGAAACAGGAGTGGTGCAGTGTGGTGAGAACAGCAGGCCTGAGGGGACTGGGATATTTGGCCTAACAGTGTTCTTTTTTTTTTTTAATGAATTTTTTAATTTTTTGCATCATGTTCATTTTTTAAAAAGATTTGCTTCCCCCCACCCCCTCAGGTGTAGTCCCCATAGTTTCCTTCACCAATGCACCCGTGCACCATCACCCCAGTCCCCTGTGCTCCTCCCTCCCTCCCTCCCTCTGATCCCTCTCCCTCCTCCTTCCCTGAAGTATGACTCTGATTTATTATTGTCTGCTTTTGCTTTGTTGTGTTTTGTACTGTTATTATTTTTTTACACTGATGCCTTATATGGTTCCCCTATATTCCTGCTATAAGTGAAACTTTCCAATATTTTTCTTTTTCCTTCTGACTTATTTCCCTGAGCATAATGCCTTCTAGCTCCATCCAATTGCTGCAAATGCCATTACTTATCTTTTTTGATTGCTGAATAGTATTTCATTGTGTATATATGCCACATCTTCCTGATGCAAACGTCTATTATGGGCATTTTGGTTGTTTCCACGTTTACCTATTGTAAATGTGCTGCAATAAACACAGGGGTTCAGGTGTTCTTTTGAATCAATGTTTTTGTGTCCTTTGGGTAGATCCCTAGTAGTAAAATTGCCGGGTGATATGGTAGCTCCATTTTAAGTAAATTGAGGGTCCAGTTCGCATTCTCACCAGCAATGTAGGAGAGGCTTAACGGGGTTCTCACAGACAGTGCCCATTAGTCCAATGGAAAAAAGCCTTTTTTTTTTTTTTTTTTTTTTTCACTGAAGTGGCTGAACTTACAGGCCTGCCCTGAATCTCCTTGTCCAAACTGGCTTAGCTCCTCCATATTCTTGGGCCCTGGAAATGAGCTGGGCTAGGCCACACCCTACATTCACAGCTGTACAGACACAGCAGCCATTCCCACCCAGCTTCTTGCTGTCATTTAAGACCTTTCTGGAATCCTTTCTAGTGTGGTAAGTGCCTTATCATATTAAATCCAATGCCCTCTGCCCCAGCTGTTCTGTTTGCTCTATCTTCTTTGCCCACCAAGTTTTGCCTCTCAAATGAATCATAAGTTGCCTTGACCTGTCTCATACACATAACCTGATACATAAAATGATGTGATGGCGGCAACTCTCTTGCTTACCTGTGACCATGCAGGTGCCTCTATTTTTCTGTCTCCTTTTCCTAATAAACTTGCCCTTTTAAAATGGAAAATAAACAGGGCCTCCCTGGTGGCGCAGCGGTTGAGCGCTGGGTTGCGAAACTGCCTGCAGCCTGTGCAGCGCCGGTTCGATCCCCGGCTGCTCCCCGGCCACCAGAGGAGGGTCCCACATGGCGCGCAGACCTCTCCTGCCGCCCGCTGCTCCCCTCAGCAGTGTACTTGGGTCCTTCTGCCTGCTCTGCTCCCCGCTCTGGCTCTGGTGAATTCTCTCACCCTCCTGCGCTTCTGACTGTACCCAGTGCATGTATAAACAAAACAAACAAACAAATAAATAAATAAATAAACATGCCTCTATAAAAAAATTAAAAAAAAAAAAATGGAAAATAAACAAATAAATGTTTAAAATGATGTGATAGTGATGATGAGAGCGACAAACAGGGCACAGAGATAACTTTCTGTTAGCAACCCTATACAACAGGACTGACAATTCACCCCAAGAGCAGGCAGATAATATAAATAAATTGCCTTTTTTCTTTTGTTGGAAATGTGGGAACCCAAAATATTTTGTGCCCATAACTCTGTGATTTGAAAAACAACAACATACACTTGGTGATAAATGGCAGTGGACATTCATGTCCCAGCTGGTGACAATAGGAACATTGTGGACTAAAGTGAATGGAAGAACATCTCTAAAGTTTGGCCTGCAGCTCTGCATCAGCCCAATGGCCCCTTGCAGAGTATGAACCCATGATTTCCAGTCTTCCAGCTTCTTAAAATACCCCGAAATCCCATTTTGATATCTGATTATTGGCAATTCACTTCACTCTTTAAAAACAACCCAATGTAGGCAAATCTGGTACAAAACAAAGAAAACATAAAATGGGCCATAACTAATCCCGAGCAATCAATTTGAAAACTCCAATTAAAACAGAACCCTCTTGACAGTTTGAAAACTTCCTCCTGCCCCACCATTTGAGGGAGAGAACCAACAGTTCCAATAAGATGGTATCTGAGGGTCTCCTGGCTTTGGCAGGCAATCAACCCCAGAGCCTCAGGTTCTCATATATATCAGGTGTTTCATGTACCTCGGACACAGGTCCCAGAACACAGCCCTATGGGGTGGGCGGCAAAACTCAGGGTGGCCTCCAAGACATGAGATGTAGGGATGTGGCTTTGCCAGACCATTGTCAGAGGGGCTCAGAACTACTGCACAACCCTCCTGACTTATTGCAAACTCCCTACACTTTAATCCCTTTGGGTTTTGTGTGATCCAGCAGCTCAAATGCCCAGCCCTGAATCCCCAAGTGGGGCGGGAGGTATGGTGAGCTTGACAAGTCCAGTTGCAACCACCGTTCTCACACGTTTCCGTTCACAGCCTCACACACAAACAGGGGCACAAGAATAATCTTGAAACTTCACACTGGCTGCTGTGCTTATTGAAAATAAACATGGGTGTGGGCCATACCTTTGGGGTTAAGGAAGCAGGGGCAGGGTGGGCCTGGCTCCCGGACAGCTCCAGCAAGGATGGGAGTCATTCATGTGCCCTGGTGGTCAGTGACTCAGGCAAGTCTCTCCGCTGCCTGGGCTGCCCCAAAGAATGCTCCTTTTCTACTAACTTCTTGAGACTGTTTAGAGGGAGGAGGTTTTGAGCCTTTCTGGAAGGTGAGTTCTATAAAAGGGGTCCTGAAAGGTATTCTACTTGGCCCTGCTGGTTTTACATGTAGGGAAAGTGAGACCCCAAAGAAGGGATTTAACTGTGGCCACAGAAGTTCGTGGCAGGGCCAAGTCTTGAGTCCTGGGGACTACAGTCTGAATAAAACTTAGGGAGGCCAATAGAATTTGGGAAGGAGGACTCTTGGGGAGAAGGTGTGGTGAGGCGGAGGGGAAGGAATGGTCCCTGTCGAGGGAAGGCAGCAGTGGCACCCTTAGCCCTAACTCAAGGCCACCCCCTTGATATTTTTGTTTCACCCCCCTTAGGTAACCCTCCACTATGCCAGCTCTCTTCCATTTGCTGGCCCCAGAGGGCACAGGAGGCTGACCTGCCTGAGCTGGTCAGTGGGCAGGAGATGGGGGTCTGCAGAGATTAGGGCTTCTACTCCTCTTGTTGCATGGCAACCCCGCTCTAAATCGGGTTGCCTGACTGTGGATCCCCACCCACACACTCAAAGGGACTTACACTGCAGGCACACACAAAAAGTTAACAAAAGATTTATTTACAAGGGAAGGGGAAATGAGAAAATGTACAACTCAGAGAGTAAAGAGGGAGATAAATTCTTAAATGCGTCCTACCCATTCCGCCGACCCGGAATCCCAAATGACCCACTGAGACAAAACCTGCCTGGCCAAGATAACGAGCCAAGTGAGCCCCAGACCCCACTGATATGGCTGGTTATAAACCGAGGCTTGAGAAAATGGCTGCTTAACTAGACTCTTAGGTCCTTGCAACCTCCCTTTGGGGATCATGGGATTTGTAGTGCCCAGGGTCTTCATGGAGTGGGGATGGCATCCACGAAACCTGTATGGAATTCGCTCAGGACATCCCTTCCCCTTAACACTTTCAGTGTCCCCCAGTGAGGGGGTGCTGCTTTGAGAAGCTGTAGACACTCTCCAGTGTTCTTCATTCCCCCACATCTGTCACCTATCACATTCCTGCCGTCTCATATTGCCCGCTTCTGCCTCTGCAGCTCGGGCCATTAATACTGCTTGCCTGGAATAGTCTGTCTAATCACTCCTCAGCCTTTTGGCTAAGATCAAGTGTGGAATAGTCTTCCTCCAGTCCCCTCACTGATCTCTAGACACCCATCTGCCCCTCCCTGTCCCAAAATTCCACAAACACCATAGTGGCAGCAACCAATCCATAGCCCCACAGGCACCACTCCAAGGCAAACCCCCGCAACTCTGCCTGAGGAACCCCTGCAATTTTCTCTGCCTGCCACATTGGAAGGTCAAAGTGCTAGGGGATAGTGAACATGCCCAGTCCAGCTCAGAACAGCCTTCAACCAATGGCCCGTGGGAGGTGGTGTATGAACACCCCAGCTCTCTCCACCTCGGCGAGAATAATGCTGAGGGGAGTAGTCTGTCCTGGCTCCCAGAGATGCCCACAAGATCAAACTCCAGTTACCACAGCCGTAACTTGCTTGACTGCACATGCTCTATTTGCTGTCTCCCTCCCTGTCTCAATTTCCCACTCTACTGGTATTTTCTGGAATTACCTCCCATATAAACAACCTACCTGTGAATCCCCATCTCAAGGTCAGACTCAGGACATCAGCTAAGACACACATCTGACCACATCATTGTCTTGCTTAAAACCTTCATTGACTCCTTGTGCCCTTGAGATAAAGCACAATCCCCCCAAAATGACCCTCAGGCCCGGCATACTAGCTTTGCTCTCAATTCCGTCCCCCCGCTAAGCTCTGCCTCACTGAGCTGATTGTTGGCCATGCTCCTCTCTTGCCCTTCACACATGGTGCCTCCTCTTTCTGGAACTTTCTCCTTAGGAGAAAAGAACCAAGTAAGTCAACTTAGCCTTCAGGTTTCAACTTCAAAGGCAGCTACCTCCAGGAAGACTTCCCTGACTGCCAAGTCTAGGTCATGGCCCCTAGTACACTGCTCCCATGTTTCCCCATCATAGCACTGTGAGACCCAGGGCCACTCCTATCTTATTCATAAGCGATCATCGAGTCCAGCACCTGACATAAATTTATGCTTAAAAAATATATTGGATGGATGATTAGATGGGTGAATGAATAAAATCCACCAAAGAATCTTCTTGCCCCTGCCTGAACTCTCCTGGATCGTCACCTCTGGAGGTAGCTATTCTACTTGAGGAAGGTTCTAACCATGAGCTGTCATGTTCTAACC